ATTTACTTTCAAATTCTAGGTTAGATTTTTTGGCATTACTGACTGCTTTCCTTCAAAATCACCCACTTTAGTTGAATCTACATCAAATGGCAAAACATCAAGTTGAAACATTTTGTCTCAACATTTAGCATTGGGTTGATCAAGTAGCCAGAAGATTGGCTTTATTCTTAATTATAGATGTTAATATTGAAGAGGACATACAATTTATTTCAAAATATTCCGATAAGTTATTGGAATTTTCATATATGATTCTTTTTAACTAACACGTCTGTAACAAATGCCTGCTATCTTTTCTCCTTTGTTTTTTTCTTCTTTCATCCTTCACCAGATTTAACTATTACCTTTTTCCTTATCAAACTATATCTTGTGAGTTTTATAAAGACGTTTAATGTATAATAATGTATGATAAAATGTAACTGCTTTCTGTTCTCTCTGTTATCTTTTCTTTCTTGCTTTATTAGCTCTTCAGATATTATCAACATTCCATTTCTAGGAATCATCATACACAAATCATTGTACCATGAGATTCCAATCTCCATGAGTTTATGTAACTTCAAGTTCCTCCTCTTTATGATCTGTATTTTCTGCATTCTAATAATACTCTTTAACTTAGTACCTGACATAGAATGTGTTTGCACTTATTTTTCCTTGATTTTTCCTCCTTGTTTCAGATATTGAAATCTGTTAGTTTTTAATCCATATCCACTTAATAAGTGTGCCAAGAATATCGTTCATTATTACTAGCAATGTTAAAGTACTAGCCTCTTATTCGACTCTCACTTCCATGAAGCCAAAGTTCATGTCTTATCTAAACTTTATTTATTTAATCATCTACCTATATCTATCTGTCTATTTATCTATCCACTATCTATCTGTCTGTCTGTCAGCCTAATGCCACCTAGTACCTAGAACACAGCTCCTCACATAGTAGGCACTTGTGTTTTATAAACATTAGTTGTGTGACATTGTACTTTAATAGATAGCGTATCAAAATACCTTTCAAATGAACTGGAAGGTATTTTGATGCACTAGCCAATATGCAACAGTATTTCGGTTTTTGTCATAGGTATAAATGACAAAGAAAGGTAAGTGACTCAGTGTATAGAGCTCTGGGCCTGGAGTCAGGAAGACCTGATTTCAAATCTGGCCTCAGACACTTACTAGCTGTATGACCCTGCACAAGTCACTTGACCACTCTTTAGCTTAATCCCCTGGAGAAGGAAATTGCAAATGACTCCAACATCTTTGCCAAGAAAACCCCATAGACAGTAGTATTGGCATTATATGGTCCGTGGGATTATGAAGAGTTGGACGTGACTGAGCAAAACAATAAATATTGTTATTCTTTTTTAATTATTCTTTGGTACCTCTCAATCACTAAAATCACTTTCTATTTTTTACCATATGTGTTTTTTTCTCCCTTATCAGATTATAAGCTCCCTGATACCACAAATGATATCTTATTTGTCATTATAATTTCTCTTGGCACCTAGTGTACTGCCCTGTTCATGGTAGGTACATAATAGGTATTTCTTGAATGATGGTGAATGAAACTACATAAAGCTGTGAACACTGTATCTTTAACTTCACTTTCAGTTAGAGATTTCTAATATATTAAAATTGTCTGTGTATCTGCTAAATTTCTTTGTACTTTGGTCTACATCAACAGTAGCAGAATTTCACACATACAGAGGATGTTACCATTTAAAAGACACTTTCCTCATAACGACATCATAAGATAAGTAATATGAGTATTATTCACTCCTCCCTCTCCTTCTGCCATTTCGCAGAAGAATAAAGGATAAGTGACTTGTTCATGGACAAATAGGTAAAGGAGCTGACTTCTGATCCATTTGATAATGACTATATCACATTATCTCTCAGATCTTCAATATTCATTTTGAATAGATCTCCAGAGTAATGAGCATTACTAATTTTTTTAATTTATAATTTTTTCAGCAATGTTAAACATACACAGAATTGTAAGTAGTTTAAAAGAAACAATTTTTTTCACTAAAGATAAAATTTTAAAATATTATATTCCTTCCTGACTGTTTATTTACCTCTTTTAAAACTAAGTGGGTTGTTTCAGTGGCACGCTAGAGTGCCAGTCTTTGCTTGCCTTCCAACTTTTATAGATATTCATGTTAGCCACAATAAGGTGTTGTCATCATGGTCCAAGGGCGTAATGGAAATCAGTTTCTGACATGGTATGTGTTGTCCTTGAAAACTGCACTGACAATATGAGGGAGCCCAACAATATTTCAAATAGCGAAGAATAGATCAAGGATATTTCTGTAGCTCTAGGAGTCATATTTATTAGGATTTAATGAATATTGTTTCACATGTGTTTATTTATATTTTCATGTACATAATACTAGGCTGCAATATTCAATGTTAACAAATTATGATATGCAACAATAATTTTAGAAAATAGTAACCATTTTGTCAAAGATATGTAAATCATACTTGTTTTCTAAACTATATAAAATTATAGTTAAGATTTTTAGTTAGCTTGCTATGTGCCTGCATTAGGCTATTATATACAGAGAGTGCTAATTGATCAAGCAATTGCATTTTAATTGAGCTAGTGGGCTATCTTTGGTTTATTTCTTTTCTATTGTTTTACTACTGAGTATAATCATCTTGGTTCAGATGTTTGCCCGCCTACCCAATCTCTCTATTAAACTCCTTTCAAATCCAAATTTTATTAATCCCTGTAAAATCTGTCTGGATAAAACACATTTTCCCTTTTTCAAAAGGATTCTCTTCAAGTGTGGAATCCTTAGTTATGTTTTTAATTTGCGTTTAGATTGTGAAATGATTATAGTAGTTAAGTCCACTTCAACTAAAGGTTGCATTCTTTGTGTGATGTAATTGCTTAATAGAACAAATAGCAATTCAGTTCAATAAAATGCTTATTAAGTACCTACTATGTTCAAGGCTCTGTACTGGACACTATGGGTTTAAAGACAAAAATGAAATACTCTTATGAACCTTACATTTTCCAGATGGTTGTAGAAATTGCCTGAGAAACATACTGGCAATTTTTACAAAATAATATCTTTTTCGTTCCTTCCTTAAATCCCACAGAGCTTATTGATGACCATGAAAAATATAAACTACATTAGAACCCTATAACAGAAACTTAAAATTTGGAAAGAAAACCTATTGGCTAATTTCAGACGTGCTCAACATTGACCTAAAAGCAATTGTAAACAAAAGTATAGTCATACAGCATCATCAGAAATGTATTAACAATGGGAAATTGCACCAAATTAACATTGATGGAATCCAGTAGGATCTTTTCTTTTAGTCCTGTGTTTGGTAATAACTTTGCACATGCCCATTCGAAGTAACTTTTTTTTTCTTTTTAATCCTCTAAATCCTGGGAGAGGCTTCTTTCTTCACTGCTCAGACAACAAAGAGCTAAAATCTGCTCCCAATAAGGACGCAATCTGTAAGTTAGCTCTGAAAGGCAGCAACAGAAACCTAGTCTTGAAGTAACACTTCTGTTGTCAAGGGTTACTGATGTGGGGACTGGAAGGTTGTATACACGAGGAAGGATTGCTTTTATAATATACTGCACACATTCAAGGGATTGTTTCCAAATATCATTAGTATCTTAAATGATATCTTCAGCTTAATATTCTGTAGTCTTTTTCATGTTTTGGTTTTCAATAATTGTATATTAAAGAACTCTTAGTGAATTTATGAGTTGACAATTACTCGCTTTATTCAACAAAAAAAAAACCCTTTGCAACATTCACCTAAAAACTGAAGACATAATTTATCATTAAATTCATGTTTACCATGAATATTCGCAGCTAAACTACAAGAAATATATGTAATTACATATTTTATCATATCAAAAATCAACATAGGTAGGACCTATTGTATTCTTCATAAACATTTTCATCACCTTCCAAAGAATTAAGGGTCAACAGTCTGGGGTCTATTTAAAACCTTACAGACAGATCTACTAAATGTAAACTATCGCAGTTATGCTGTACAATTTTGGCATTGTGTTCATATGACATATGAACATCCTTCTTAAATATTTACATATATAATGTTTCATTGCCTAAAATCGTCAGTTGCTATATACACACTTTAAAATCTTGGTGTTTTTTTTCCAGTTTGCATTACTAATGACTTAGCATAGACAATCTGTTTTTAAAAAATAACATGGTAATTAAAGATCAATATTTAATTTATTATGCCAGTATAGTCTTTCTTTTTTCAATTTTTATTGTAACATATTTGTGTGTATATATTAAATTATGAACTTAGAACAATTCCATCAACTTAATGAATGGGTTTCTTGTTCTTCTTAATACATTATTTTAAATCTATGTTGAGTGATTTAATCACATACCACTAACACCAATAACAAAATATTGTATTTTTCTAATAATTCCTTTGGTTCTCAATTTGTCATGTCCACTACATTTTGCCCCTCAATGAGTTATTTTACTTTGAAGTGGAGTGTTTTTTTTTAATCAGTAATGTAATTTGGGTGAACAGGAACTAGGGGAAATATCACTGAAAATGTAATTTCCCCTGTTAAAATCTGAATCTTACATAAATTAAACAATGCATTGGAATTTTCAGGCAAAATTATTGGTGTGAATATTTCCCTCAAAATTTCTTCTTTTAAATCTATGTATTTTTAAAGCCATCCCACACACTGGCAATTACAAGCAGATATGAAACGATCATCACATGACATGAGTTTAAATGCGTGGGTTTTTTTATTGGTTTAACATCAATCCAGGCATTAGAATGCTGGAGGTAAACGAATCAATTAAACACATTCCCCCGTGCCCCCTCCCCTTCTCTTCCCTAAAGCTGCTTGTATAGTGTTGCTTTGTAGTTCCTAGAGACAGAGGCAGTAGGACCCAGGGGCCTTCCACAGCCACCAATAGAAGCGCATACTTGGATCTATTTGTATGCAATGCCTTCTGCTCTGCGCATTAATAGTAATACAGATAGCGGGTCTGAAAGAATTCTCTTCTGAAGAAGGATTGGATTTTTCCAGGGTCCTGATATTCTGAAGAAATCCGGATTCATCCTCTCCCTATGAGTCCCCTCCCCAAATGTTTAAAAGTCCCGAATAGCTTTTGCTTCATTTAAACTCGGAAAGGTTTCTATGTACAGGAAAGTTGCAAGAACTATCTGAATCATGGAACTGCTAGTTTTCTAAAAAAAAAAAAAAGAGTCTTATCTAAGGGTAAGTGCCCCACATAAACAAAAATCAAGTGAGTGACAATATTAAGATGTCAAACGGAATGTGTTTAAATGTGTGTTTGTGGCTACGGGTTGTGTTGTCTTCTGATATACGAGCTAAATTCATTCAGTTTGCTAAGAAATTGGAAGTGATGGAAGGGACGTGTATATGTATGTGTGCATATATGAGTGTACATACATTATATCTATATCCACATATAGATGTACTCACGTATATATGTATTGCATATATGCATTGCTAAATTGATTTTTTTTTAACGCTGAAGAAATATGACTAGAAGGAATCCAACAAGTTTCATTTCAGGGATTAAAGGTTTGTTTATGCTCTGAGAAGTTAAGTGCTGGGAGTGTGTTCTGAGGTGAGTGAGATTGTTTAACAAAGAAGTTGGAGGATGTGTATCTTGTGCTAATTGATACGTGGATTTGGGGTGAACTCGGGGACGGGGGAGCGATTTGTGGTGCATTTATCCTTTACATGGCATTGACACAAACAGGAGCTAGTGATTTGACTGTTCTGAGTTTCAGCAGCACGTTCGGTTGAGGGCAAACGCAACTTTGCAGGGTAGTCTTGCCTGTACTGGGAGGTTAATGGTGTAAACAATCGGACTAGACCCAGCGCTCTTAAACTTTAAGCATATTCCCAAACCACCTAAAATGAGGAGACACAGGTTTTTGTTTGTTTCCGTTAGTATTTTATTGCTGTCGTGATAATGTCATAATTATGTTTATTGCGCCACTTTTGCCTGTTTTGACAGCTAACTCCTAACTCCTGTGCGCGTCAATCATAAAATTTCTCACTAACTACATTGCAAAGTAGATCGCGGCAACTGCATTATCTTTTTTGTATTTGGAAATGCAATATTGATCTGAAGAAGGTGCGATTTCTGTAAAAAAAAAAACCCTTTGTGATCTGACTTTTCCAGTGAGAAAGGCAAAGGTGCCTCTCTCCGCCCATCTTTTACACACAGAACACACGTATGATGATGCATGCTGGAAAGTAATGCTGTTGGTGACATTTTGCTGGGAAACATATTGCAGGGAAGTCGAGGAGCCTCTGCATTATTTATGAAGTGCTTGCATGCCTCTGGGGACAGTTCTTTCTCCCTTTCCCCGCCCCCTCCCCAGGAGGCAGGTTGGGGGCTGGGGGTGCTGTTGCAGTGCCGCCGCTGCTAGGTTCTGCAGTGCTACTCACACAATAGAGGGAGAGAAAGGCAAACCCGTCTGGGCTGGGCTGGAGCAAGCAGCTAGCCTGATTGCGGCGGCTGCTGCTGCCGTTGCTGTAGGGATTGCTGCTGCAGTGCTGCAGAAACCCGGTTCCTTTTCCCTTCAGTGCGTTGTAGGAGTTAGCAAAGCCTAGCGGTGTTAAAGGTACTGCTTACTGGAAAGATGTATATCTGGACAGAAGGGGCCCAGCCTTACTTTTTGGAATACTTAGTGAAACAAACCCAGTAGTCCTGAGGGTCGGGGAGGCTTAAGCATTGATTCTTTCGCCTCTTTACTCATTTAGCTTGGAGATTTCTGTTAGCAGCCAAATCTGTATTAGCCGAGTAATACAGTTTTGGGATGCCACGGTGTTAAGTGGAGGAGAGGTGAAAGAAACTGGGGACGACAATTATTGGGTTCAAAACGAGCTTAAACGTTATGAAGAGGTGAAGGGAGAGGATGAAGAAGGGACACAAGGACTTCATCGATTTTGCTAACCCTCCTCCTTCACCTCCCCTCGGTTTTCTCTACGTTAGATTTTTGAAAAGGGAGAAAGGTGAGGCATTGACCTAGAGTGTTTCTTTACAACGTCTAAAGAGTAAGGCACGCAATACTAGGAGCTTGTTGAATCAGTGTGTGAATGGGGACGTAGGGTCCCTTCATAGTGTCATTGACACCCTGAATTCAGATCTTTTTATAACGCCTCCTACTTGGAGGGGGGGTGACCTTGCACCCTTCCCCATCCCCAAGTGCATGCATAGTCTTAGTTGCCGCATTTTGAATGGCATTCTGTTCTGGTTTTCTTCTAGTGATTTTATCTGATCTCCTCTAACCATAGGTATTGTTATGGGATCATTTATATGCCCTGTAAATGGGGGTAATTTGTTTAAACTGGGGATTGATTTCCAGTCCTTCTAGGAATGTGGAGGAATACATGTATATGCAAAGCAGTAGACTGGGTCCTGGTATTTATCAGTTGCCTCACAAATAAAGCTGGCTTACTGTGTCTCAGGCTTGTGAGTGACCCTACAAAGGAAACATGCTCAGATAGAGGACAGGCGGAAAGGCATCTGTGTGCTGACAGTGCACTCTTTTCTCACCTTCCTTTGGTCCCCATCCACTCTGATTCATTTTAAATTTTTTCACTAACTGAGTCCTATCCTAGAGGAACCCACCCCACCCTTCCTTAAGGGCAACCATTTAAGAGGTTCATTTCAGCATAGGTCCAGGTGTGCAAAGGTTTAATGGGGGGATTATTTAGGGACTATCAGGAGGCAGGAGCATAGCTCATCTCTGAGGTTGGAGCCAGTACAGAGTGAGTGTTGTTTGATTTGGAGGAGCAAAAGAGAACCTGAAAAGTATTCTTGGCCTATAAGAGATGATTTGGAAAGAGCACAGAAGTGAGAGTCAGTCGACCTGGACTCTAGTCTGGTTTTCCTACTAACTGACTATGTTAAAGCTTCAGTTTCCTTATCTGCAAAATAAGAGAGTTGAGCTAGAACTCAAGTTTCAAACTCAATGATTCAAGGATTTAGTTTGTCTTTAGGAATTACCTAATTCAGTAGGAGAATGCAAGGATAGATAGTGAAGTTTGTGAGGGAATTTGGCTCAGTGTATTATCTAACATTGTACATGCTTTGAATCTATGTTTATACATCTTAAAGTTTTTCAAAACCTGAGGAATTGGAACACACACACTGATCATAAAAATGTCTGCCTCATTAAGAAAGGTTTGATTACCAGTTTGCTTTTCTCTTCCTTTTTGATTTCATCCCTTGTTCTCTGCCTAAACCACTTTTAGCATCCTAAACAACACCTCCTTTGAGATGCTCAGTGTTGGCAGTTTCCAGAGGTATAGATCATAATGCAGAGTGTGAGAGGGCAAAGCAGAGATGCAGTAGCCAGCTGCCTGAGAAGCTTTATTCTGTTTATTTCTCTTGACAAATGCTGCAGTACACAAAACAAAGAGTAAATATTGCAAAACCACAAGTAAAAAAAAAACCACACTTATGTTATGTCTATACTTTATGGAATATTGGTTGATCAATCCAAATGGAAAACTCAATTACTTAGATAAAATTTAAAGGGACATGATATACTCATGCAGTATTTGGAGGCTAGTATATTTAGCTAATGGAAGTTCACTTTTTGGCATATGCTGGTGCTAGATACATTAAGGACTACTTTTATTTATGGAGGGATGTACTCCAGTCTGAGAAATACCAGAAAGGTTTGATACAACTTATTTGTATAATGACACAAAACAATTCCAACCACTGTGTGAAATGTGGATTTTAAAGGAAAAAGCCAGAAAGCAAAGCAATCCCATGGCAGTTTGATGAATGAGCAGGTGCAATGCACCATTTGAAAATGTTACTTGAGGTGAGGTTCCATGCAATCAGCTACAGAGTGAGCTTTTTCCAATAGCATGGAAAACCACACTAATAATGCTTTTTTTCTTGTTATCCTTGGACTTCAGAAAAAAAAAAGGTCTAAATCAAGCAAGATTTGTTAATTGAAAACATAATCATTTACCTGGAAATGTTGAAACAATTACTGTGGCTATTAGTATTCCTGGGTCTACTATCGTAACATATTAGCTACAAGATCATGGAAATTTTATAGCTACAGAGGACCTTAGAAAATCATTTCATAATATGGTTGAAAATTCTAAGGCCCAGAGAATGTGAGTTCCCCAAGGTCACACAGATAGTTTTCTTCAGATTAGGAGCCAGAGTATAGGTCCACTGACTCAGGAAAGGATAATCTTTTGGAAGTGCTTACTGACATTATATGTACTATACAGAAAGCAGCCATGTAATAGAAGGAATTTTAGTGCTTGAAATATTCCTATACGAGCTAATTCTCTTGGTAGCATCTAGTGCTTTATCAACATATACTTTCTATTAGAGACAGCCAGATTTAATGGATATAGTCTGTTAGATTTGAAGTGAAGCAGACCTGGGTTCAAATCCTGCCTCTGATATTTACTAGACACAGCCAAGTAATTGAATATCTGTGTGCCTTAGGCAACTCCATAGTACTTAGGCAATCTTAGGAAACTTGCCTCCCCAAGCCTCAGTTTTCATATCTATAAGAAAAGTGGCTGCACTAGTTGTATAGGTTCCCAAAGTGGGTGATACCACTGCTGGAACAATGCGGGGTGGGGGAGAGGTAGTAGCCTCAGGTGCAATTGGGGGGCATTGAAGGTGGCAGTTGAAGGAAAGAAGAGAGTTTTGAAAAACCATTTATGTTTTTTGTTTGTTGTTTAACAGAGTTGAAGTCATAATGATTACATTATTTTCCAAATAAACACACAAAATGCAAGTTATACTGATCAGTGGTCAAGTTCGAGATAGGTTTTGACAAGCCAATGTTGGCAGGCAAGCGTGTTGCACATTTTCGGGAAGTCCAGCATGCATCAGCAAGAATATATGCATGTGATGACTTGTAATGATACAATATTGCATCATCAAAATTTCAATGCAAGAAAAATACCACAAATTTAAAATAAATTATATCACTTTTTTAAAAAAGTGTATTATTTTAAATCATGCAAATTTTTTTAAAAATGTTAAAGGTAGATTTCCAAGGGGGTGCTGAGTAGTTTTTTAAAGGATGCAGTAGGCCAAATAAGTTTGGGAACCTCTGAATTAGTTGATCTTTAAGTTCTTTTCCTACTCCTTGTAAATTGAAGGTTGAACTCTACTTTGATTAAGTTTGCAAAATCACAGATTCTTTGAGTGGCTTATGCTATATTTCATAGTAATAATAGCTAAT